CATTTCAAATAGTTTGTTTGGACCTACTGTCTATGGTTTGGACCCGAGTTTGCTTTCACACCAGAGAAACCGCACCAGAGTTTGACATTTGGTGTGGAATCAAACGGACCGAGACCACCTCTTTTTTGAGATCTCAGTCTGCTTGATTTAGTGCGGGTCCAAGTGCGATTGGTGCTTTCACACCAACGAAAATAAACCAAACTAAGAACTTTTAGTTCGAATGGACCGTTTGGTGTGGACCAAATATTGTCGATTGTTGACACCCTAAGAGCATAATTTTATGCCAGCTTAATCGTATTCATTTTTGCTTTGCTGTAATTACTTCATAGATGAGCTGTATACAGTGGAGTCCAGTATGATCTAAAAAGAGATGTTTTGACATAATTTGTACACATATGGAATTTGAGTGCTAGAATATTCGCTTGTGAATACAGTTTGCAACACTGATGGTGGATGTCATCATCATCATCACAAGAGTCATTTCTAATGTTATGGCCCAAGTATTTTGTTTTTGTTACATTAGTCAGCTGATTCTCATAAAAAAAAAACAAAAAAAAACTATTTACTTTTACTATATACTGTGAAACATTCTGTGCAGAGCAATCTCCATGGAGAAAAGCAGGTGTTGGAATTTGCCATGTAACTGTCAGATTTGTTGACCAGTTTTATGGTTAATATCTCTGTACTTCCTAGGACTATGCAAATGAAACAAAAACTGGCACAAAATTCAAAGTCTTCTCTGTCAACACAGATAAACAAAAGTGAAATTAGGCTTTCACAATCGCTTCAGAAAGCCATTATCAGCTGAAAAGACTTCAAACCGTGAGCTTAATATGGCAGGTTTGTGAAGCCAATCCCAAATAAACAGAGATAAGATCCAACATTTGCTGATCACAAGTTTGGATGCTTAAAGGTGCATTGCGCAACTTTTCTAGTGGAGAGTATGCCATCTGCTTGTCTTCATGGAGATGTTATTGCTTTGTCTAGATTGTAACCCTATCTATCTAAAGGGAGATAACTATAGGCTACATTACAGGTCAGATCTGTGGAGAGGCAACCCTATTCACAGAGAGAATTATTGTATTTTTGAGCAAAATGCAAACAAACACACAAGTTATTTCCTTGACATGTTCAAAAGCTCTGAATCTCCCGTAGGGTTACATAGACCCGTGCCCTTCATTCAGAAATTATGACACCATCAAATCCTAGACCGTGAACACAACCTTTTGGTATTTGGTTGTGGTGTGGCGACAGTATCTACAGCTCTATTCTCTGACGTAGAAGCCAGTGGAGGCCTGGCTGGTTTCTCTTTGCACTTTTTCCAACAGTTGCTTACACACAGTTCACAGTTATGCAGCGATACAGACACAAGGAGACACAGCGCAGGGTCCAGATTAAGCTCTGCAACTGTCACTTTCCTAACAGCTGTATGCTCACACACACACACACACTCTGCACGGTTGGAGATTTAAAAGGATGCTATTTGATAAAAACACAACACAATATATAGTTGTTAGGGATGTAACAATAACTGAAATATCGTGATATCGTATCGTGAAAAGTCAAAATGATACCGTGGGCCAACACAATATATCGAATTTTAAGTGTCTTTGCTCAAATTAATTGTTTTGGTGCAGCAATAGCTAAAAAAAAAAAACTCAGTGAACTACATATACCATGATCCTTTGCTTCATTACAGTGCAGATTACATGAAAAGTAATACATATAATAATAATAATCATAATTTTTAAGCACGTTTAAATGTTAATTCTTTGGTCTATGGCAGAAGAAAAGTCTTGTTCAAAGCATTTTAAAAGAAAAAAGTTGCATTTTCACAATTGTTTTAGCGTCTACAAAATATCAAAATGGGATGTATATCGTCAAAATACCGTACTGAGAGATTTGAATATCGTTATCGTAACACTTTAACGTTGTATGTTAAAAGAATGAGATCACCATGTTACCTTTTTATTGTTTTGGAAATGCTATGCACATCTAACCAAAATTGTCTGCTGGGATCAAAGACAAAAACTGTACAAAAAATAATGACACCACAATGTGACGCTGGGGTCAAGTCCTTCTTCAGGCATGTGGGATTCAGTTTTACACCTGTTATATATTAGGGCCAGATAGTCACCTGACCACCTGAGCATGTGATTCCAATGACACGTCAATGACATATCACAATAAAATAAACATTTGGGATCTCCAGAGAACTGCAGTGCGTATTTGCTGCAAACAACACTAAGGCTGCGTTCAGACTGCAGGGCTTAATGCTCAATTCGGATTTTTTTGCGAGGTCATTCACATTTCCAATTAAATATGACTTGTATATGATCTCCAGTGTGAACTTTAAACGCCCCAAAAGTGTCCCGCTTGCGCATTGGAGAACATGACGACATCACACACTGAAAGCATGCTCAGTGTTTATGGAAGTCGCCTAAACATGGACGCGAGCATTGAGAACTTGTTCGTTTTAAAGTTGCTGTCGTACCGGAGCCAGAACATGTACAGCTGATTTGTTTTAAGGAGGAGATTGAGAAGGAGAAGGACGAGGTTTTTGACCGTGGCGTCGCGTGAGGCAGCGGCAGCAACGTCCGTAGAAAGGAACGTGTGGGTTCGGAGTCGCAGCCAGGAGTGGTGGGATTGCTCTGTGCTTCACTGCTTCACTCGCACGGAGTTCACACACAGTTTTCGTATGATGAGAAGAACGTTTGTGTACATTTGTGAGGTGTAGGTTGGATGAATGCGACCTGGCTGTTCAGACTGAAGTCGCATGTCAAAAAAATCGGATATGTATCGGTTTTAGGAGCACAGGATCAGGATACAGGTCACATAGGGGCGGAAAAAATCTGATTTGGGTCACTTCAGAGCGCTATCACAACACAATCATCGTGCATTTTTGTAATAAAACTACTGCACATTGTATCAGTTTGTGAAGTTGTAGTGTATTATTTTGTATCTCACTTTTGTATATTTATGGAAAAATGCCGTGGGTGACACAGGTTTGTGGGCTGAGTCTTGGACAGGCTTGTGCTGCTGACTGTAAGGAGGGTTTGCAAGATCATTCAAACATGAAAGCTTCAAAAAGTCGATAATAATGAAACCAAATATATAAACCAAAAATAGACTAAAATTCAAAGATCCTTAATCTCCCAACAAACTCTTGCACTTCTAACTCATGCAAACCACTCATTTTCTGAACTAAAACCAGAACTAAATCAGGACTAAACCAGAACTAAACCAGGTCTAAACCAGGACGAAACCAGGAAGAAACCAGAACTAAACCAGAACTAAACTAGAACTAAAACCAGGTCTAAAACCAGGTCTAAACCAGAACTAAAACCAGGACTAAACCATGTCTAATAAACCAGGTCTAAAACAGGACTAAACCAGAACTAAACCAGGTCTAAATCAGGACTAAACCAGGACTAAACCAGAACTAAACCAAGTCTAAACCAGGACTAAAACAGGACTAAACCAGAAATAAAACCAGAACTAAACCAGGTCTAAACCAGGACTAAAACAGGACTAAACCAGAAATAAAACCAGAACTAAACCAGGTCTAAACCAGGACTAAAACAGGACTAAACCAGAAATAAAACCAGAACTAAACCAGGTCTAAACCAGGACTAAACCAGAACTAAAGCCTGAATTAAACCAAGTCTAAACCAGGACTAAACAGGACTAAACCAGAAATAAAACCAGAACTAAACCAGGACTAAAACAGGACTAAACCAGAACTAAAACTAGAACTAAACCAAGTCTAAAACAGGACTAAACCAGAAATAAAACCAGAACTAAACCAGGTCTAAACCAGGACTAAACCAGGACTAAGCCAGGTCTAATAAACCAGGTCTAAACCAGGTCTAAACCAGGTCTAAACCTTAATCTCCCAACACACTCTTGCACTTGTAACTCATGCAAACCCGCTCATTCTCCTATCCTTCTTACTATACTTGCCTTTTAGTGCAATTCTCGTGTTCTTCCTTTGCTGCTCTGAGCTCCGGGGAGGAAACATTATAACATTTTCATTGCATTGAAATGTCAAAGTGCCCCTGAGCAGATACCTTCACTGTGCAGCTGTCCAACAAACAGACTGATTGTTCCCCAGTGAAGAGTCTGCAAACTGCACACTCCCCCAGCCCCTGTGTGCTTCAGTGTGTTTATGTTCTGAGGGCGGGACCATAGACTGTACATGGATGGGACGTACAGGCATAATATATGTTTAAATGTTCTGTATACAGCCAAGGAGAAGAGAAGAACATTGGTTGGGTTTGTTTTGAGGTGCAACAAATAAGAGACAAATAGCAACCAAAGTTACATCACAAAAACTGAAAAAAAAAATCTTACTTTGAGTACTTTTGTGTAGTTCATCAAAAAAAACTTGCCCATCTTACACAATAAAAAAACTGCAACTGAAAAACTTTGAAAAACTAATTTGTAAAGACTACATTTAAGTGTTTGTATTTCAGTACTGTTTATGTCGGTTTATGTGTTTTTGGCCCTTATAGTTTCATATAGATGGTATAGATTTCGGACTTGCCACTCTGCCACCTTATTGTCTCCATGGAGATGTTAGAATGCCTAAAATGTTCCGCAGTACGGCATCTATCTTGCATTTATCTAATTGCAGGTGTTTTTCTCCTGCTAAGAACACTGAAAACATACGTTCTTACTGTGAGCAGGCTTGCCTCTCCACAGCTCTGACCTGTTACTCGGCTTGAAGGTGTCACCTGCTCCAAGATTATAGATAAGCCTTATTGTGGAGCATTCTTAAAGTGATAACATCTCCACGGAAACAAGCAGGTGGCAGACTCATCCACCAGAAATGTTACATAGAGCTCATCTTCCTCCAATGATACATATTGAAAGCAAAACAAAATATCATGAAACTATTTAAACAAAAAAAAGCAAGTCATTTTAGCAAGTCATTTTAACTCAGTAAATACATTTTTTTTTTTGGTGGACTTATTTCTTTGTGCGTTTTTCCTGCACAGGCTCGGACCACATTCGGGAGAAGGACGGGCTGTGGTCCGTGTTGGTCTGGTTGTCCATCATGGCCGCCCGAAAACAAAGTGTGGAGCAGATCGTCCGAGAGCACTGGGCCAAGTTTGGACGCCATTACGTTTGCAGGTAAAACTTCCAAAATAAATGTAAATCACTTGTAGTTATTCATTTGTTCTCTAGAGCAGTGGTCCCAAACCTTGTCTGTCTGACAGTATTTCGGTTTGCGCAGTGTACGGGAGGTTTAGTCCTGGTTTAGACCTGGTTTAGACCTGTTACTCCTGGTGTAGTTAGACCTGGTTTTAGACCTCATTTAGACCTGGTTTAGACCTGGTTTTAGTCCTGGTTTTATTTCTGGTTTAGTCCTGGTTTCAGATCTCATTTAGACCTGGTTTAGACCTGGTTTTAGACCTGGTTTAGACCTGGTTCAAACCAGATCTTAAACCAGATATAAACCAGGACTAAGCCAGGACTAAACCAGGACTAAACCAGGACTAAACCAGGACTACATCAGGACTAAACCAGGACTAAACCAGGACTAAACCAGGATTTAACAAGGACTAAATCAGGACTAAACCAGGATTAAACCAAGACGAAACCAGGATTTAACAAGGACTAAATCAGGACTTAACCAGGACTAAACCAGGACTAAACCAGGATTTAACAAGGACTAAATCAGGACTAAACAGGACTAAACCAGGACTAAACCAGGACGAAACCAGGACGAAACCAGGACGAAAACAGGACGAAACCAGGACTAAACTAGGATGAAACCAGGACTAAACCAGGATTTAACAAGGACTAAAGCAGGACTAAACCAGGACTAAACCAGGATTTAACAAGGACTAAAGCAGGACTAAAGCAGGACTAAAGCAGGACTAAAGCAGAACTAAAACAGGACTAAAACAGGACTAAAACAGGACAAAAACTGGACTAAACACGACTAAAAAAATTCTTGTAGTGCTAAAAATGTTTGGGACCCCTGCTTTAGACATAAAAGTTGGGGACCACCGCTCAAGAGGTCTTACTTTACGAAATACTACGAACCGTAAACTTCCTCTCTGAAGCCTTCACCTTTGTCCCGTCTTTCCTGACTTTCCGTAACCACTTGTCATGAGCTCTTATTTTATCCTGCCCCCTGTGAGAGGCAGGGATAGTTGCCAACATTCCCACATACAGTGAATGCTGCATTTCAGATTCCCACAGTGAACTTTTTTAATAGCTTTTTGAAACACAGCGAGTGGGGAGGACCAGGACGTGCACTTTCAACTCACAGCAAAAGGGCCCTGGGGTTAATCGATACTTCGCAGCTCAATCAAACTCCTAAACTGGACCATGAACGCTCGTATTGATCACTTATTGGTTTCCTCCGAGTACTCCTCCTGTGTTCCCCATGAACCTAAAGACTGGTTATAGTCCAGTGCCAAGCTCCAAACAGGTGGGCGCTGGCATCCTGACGCAGAGCTGAACCGTTCCAACTTCTGCGGAGCTAAACAAGGACCAGGTGCATGATGGGAATACAAGGGATTGCATCAATATTTATTTAATAAAAGCAATAAAATAACAACAAAGAAAATTACATTAGGCTCTTTTGCCGATATTTCTGTTCCAAGTTGTTTTATTTAGTTGTGTATATAGACTCGTTATAAACCAATAATATTTAATACAGATGGAGGCAGCCAAAATTAATATTGTTAAATGCAGATTTTTATTGTAATACAGGAAGGTGAAAGGGTCTAGTCACAGAGAAAAAAATAATCAGGTTAAACATTTGTGAATTTACCTTTTATCTCTTATGAGAACACAGTGTAATGAAAAGGATGAAACTCGCTTTTGCTCCTCATCTGTAAACTATATATACTGTATACTTACATTTTACTATAGTTTAATTTATTCCTATCTGTCATATTGTAATATAATCAGGGCAAGCACTTTCTCAACTACTCTGAAAAAAATATTATCGGTGCAAAAATGTTTTGTTCGAATTGCAGCTCATTCCTTGCCACCAACATCGTCTCTTCATTTATTCATCAAACTTAACATTCTTAATACAGTATTTATGAGATTAATATTTATCATACTTGTATTTTATTTGTATTTGTATTTTATTTTAAAATTCTTTATAATTCAACTACGATCCTCAAACATTTCACATTTTACTTTAACGCCAATGCAGAGATTCATAGATACAAAACTCCATCCATCCATTTTCTATCTCTTATCCGGGGCCGGGTCGCGGGGGCAACAGTCTAAGCAGCGACTCCCAGACTTCCTTCACCCCAGACACGTCCTCCAGCTCCTCCGGGGGAACCCCAAGGCGTTCCCAGGCCAGCTGAGAGACATAGTCCCTCCAGCGTGTCCTGGGTCACAATACAAAACTCGTCAAATCATAATTTCCATTTTCCAAAGTGTGTCACAACAAGAGCTCAGTTTACGATACAGACGATGTAAACTCTGGAGCAGTTTTCACATCTGGTTCGTGACGGCATCAGAAGCATTGTTTAAAAAGAGTGTGAGGAAATGTTTGATATTTCACCATAATGTTTGATAATCCTTCAGTTGTGCATGTTTCATTGTGTTTTAATCCATGTTTGAATCAAATTAATTTAATCCAAGGTGTATTGTTTTGTTTAGTTTTTTTTTTTAAATGCACAGCGACAATTTCTTTCTTCTTCCAACACCTTCTTTTTTATCTTTTTTTTAATTTTTATTATTGTTATGTTATATATGTGCAAAAAATAAAATAAAAAATACAATAAATACAATAAATAAATAAATCTGGGGGTATGACATTATCATATTATTACAGAATGTGAAACCCATGAATTGATCATTTGCAGCTGACAAATTTCTCCCACGGCAGATAACAAAAGGATTATTTTATTTTATATCATCAACATTCCCTGGCGATGTGTTGCTAACTGGAGGCACTGCTCCGTCTGAAGCTCTGTTACTCAAGTTAGACTTTTCTAATTTGAGCTTTGTTTTAACACGATCTGACCAGAAAGGACTGAGTATTGCGCTGCTAAACAAATCTCTCACACATAAAATTACATTCTTTTATTATTATCACAAGATTCTAGCTTCAGCCAACAGTTTTTTCAGTTAGTCACGCTCACTCCTAAAACTCCTAAACAGAACCATGAACTTGATCACAGGCTTCTGAAAATATGTTGTTTTAATACATTTTTGCTTCTTTTCTTGTGTGTGCTTTTTGTTTTGCTTTTTTGTGTTTGCTAATGTGTACATTGCGTCACTCTGGAAACTGCTGTGTATTCCCCTGTAGACATACATGCAGAACACCGCAGCTTGATGTCACTGCAAAGTATTATAGTATTTTCCGCACTATTAGGCGCTCTGGATTATAAGGCGCACTGTCATAGAATGGTCTATTTTCAAACTTTTTTCACAAATAAACCGCACCAGACTTTAAATGAAACACAACAGTTGGATGGGTCAATCGAACTTTTTTTGGCGCGTTCACGGTGACTCTGGGCTTTGATCAATTGTGGTGCGTTGGGAGGGTGCTGTCTGGGACCGCTGGATTGTTGGCGTGTTCGCAGTGACTCAGTTGTTCAGTTGTGGCGCGGTCGCTGTCTGCTCCGTGTGTGTTTGCGTGCGCTGCGGGTGGTGCGGCTTTGTAGTTTACTGAAGTCGTGCTGGGACACCCGGGTGGATTTGTGTATAGGGCGCTCTGGATTGTGGGGCGCGCAGTCGTTTTTTGAAGGGGTTGGAGGCTTAAAGGGATAGTTCGGGATTTTTGACATAAATCTGTATGGCATCCCCGTGAGCAGTGTCGTGCATCCACACTGACTTACCCCCGACAGCGTCCGGTGAGCCGAGATACTGGCCATTTTCGGTGCTGATGAAAGTAGCAACTTGGCTGGGGACTGTATAATAAAGCATTTTTCTTCTCAAAACAATCTGTGTTCAAAAGAGTGATACATTTGCATCACAAAACCATCGTCGCCTAAAAAGTCAGACCTCATTATCACTTGGCACTATTTTCTTTCCGTTCGTATCACTGCCTGTCTGCTTGTAAACACAGCGGCACTTCTTCGTTCTTACCTGGTTTGGTTTCCACATTGAATCCTAAGGCAAGAAGCCAAAGTTTCCTCAGCGCAAAGTCCGTGACAGGAAAACGGTGAAATGTGCGTGGAGATTCAGCCAGATTTTTGTTGTTACAGCCTGGATAATCAACAGTTCGCACCATTTTTTAGATATATTCTTATGTATCTTATACAAGCTTATATACTTATCGCTCTTGTAAACACTGCCAAACAACTGAAGAAAGTGATGGATCCGTGCACGACTGTCACCTGGCGGCAGCGCGCAGTGACAGGAACGGAAAGAAAACAGTGCCAAGCGATTATGAGGTCTGACTTTTTTGGCGACGATGGTTTTGTGATGCAAATGTATCACTCTTTTGAACACAGATTGTTTTGAGAAGAAAAAGGCTTTATTATACAGTCCCCAGCCAACTTGACGGACTACTTTCGTCAGCACCGAAAACGGTTAGTATCTCGGCTCACCGGACGCTGTCGGGGGTAAGTCAGTGTTGATGCACGACACTGCTCACGGGGATGCCATACAGATTTATGTCAAAAATCCTGAACTATCCCTTTAAGAACGCGCCCTATGGTGTGGAAAATACGGTAATAAGTAATTTAACAGCATTATAATGTCTTGTTTGTGTTCCAGGTTTGACTACGAGGGCCTGGATCCTCGCGCTGCTTTTTACCTGATGAAGGAGCTGGAGGGAGTGATCTCGGATAAGGCGTTCATGTACCAGAAGTTTGCAGTAGGAGACCACATGTACAGCGTGGAGAAGGCTGATAACTTTGAGTACATCGACCCAGTGGATGGAACAGTGGCCCGCAACCAGGTCAGTGTGAAGGGGAGTGAATGACGCTATCTTATGTCCATTCTAAGGTTGTACTTGTACTGAAAACCAGATACGAATTGATACTAATGAACTTAAACTCTTCACGTTTTTAGCAAGTATCAACAAAAACAGCAACAAATTATTCAAACATGACAAAATTGGACCTTTCCTGAATAGTTGTACAATAATCTTGAACAAAGTTGGAAGTTCTAATCTTCAGATCGGTGGACAAGTCTAACCACTGAGCCACAAAGTTTCACAAACACTTTATTTTGCCCAAACATGGATGTAAACAATGTGAATTAAGTAGAGCAGCAGTCGCAAAAGAGCCACTGGGGAGGCACGACATACACGCAAAGAAAAAGTAACACTCTACATCTTAACCAGGACTAAACCAGGACTAAAATCAGGTCTAAACCAGGTCTAAACCAGGACTAAACCAGGACTAAAACCAGGACTAAACCAGGACTAAACTCAGGACTAAACCAGGACTAAAACCAAGTCTAAACCAGGTATAAACCAGGACTAAAACTAAAACAGGACTAAACCAGGACTAAACTCAGGACTAAACCAGGACTAAACAGGAAACCAGGTCTAAACCAGGTCTAAACCAGGACTAAACCAGGACTAAACCAGGACTAAACCAGGACTAAACCAGGACTAAACCAGGACTAAACCAGTCTAAACCAGGACTAAAACCAGGACTAAAACAGGTCTAAACCAAACTAAACCAGGACTAAAACAGGACTAAAAGGTCTAAACAGAACTAAACCAGGACTAAAATCAGGACTAAAACTAGGTCTAAAGCAGGTCTAAACCAGAACTAAACCAGGACTAAAACCAAGTCTAAACCAGGTCTAAACCAGGAATAAAACCAGGACTAAAATCAGGAATAAAACCAGATCTAAACCAGGTCTGTACCGGCACTAAACCAGGACTAAAAGCAGGACTAAAACCAGGGCTAAACCATAACTAAAACCAGGACTAAAATCAGGACTGAAACCACGTCTAAACCAGGTCTCAACCAGGTCTATACCAGCACTAAACCAGGACTAAACCAGGACTAAACCATGACTAAACCAGGACTAACCAGGACTAAACACTAAAACTAAAACCAGGACTAAACCAGGACTAAAATCAAGACTAAAACAGGACTAAAACCAAACCAGGAAAACAGACTAAACAGGACTAAAACAGGACTAAACCAGGACTAAATCAAGACTAAACCAGGACTAAAACAGGACTAACCAGGATTAAAATCAGAACTAAACCAGGGAAACTACTAAACCAGGTCTAAACCAGGACCACACCAGGACTAAAACCATGTCTTAAACCAGGATTAAATTTAGGTCTAAATCTAGTTCTAAACCAGGTCTAAACCAGGACTAAACCAGGACTAAACCTTGCCGCATGGGGGAGGGGGGAGACTCAGATTCACCCAATTTGAAAACCCCTGAAGTAGACTAGAGGTAATGAAACCTTTCCGTGTATCATTAAGTTATTATCAATCCCAAACACAAATAACAAATGGTTGCATGATAAAAATGTTGATAAAAGAACATCTAACATATTATATACACACATTACCATCATTATTGTTTGTGAAGTATTGAGCGAATGTTTTTGTCAGATGGTAGATTCCCCGAAACACATTTGAAAGAAGGCCGAGGAAATATTATATTTCCTTCAACTTAGCTTTAATCTTTGTCTCATCCTAAAATCAACACAATCATCCAGTCCCACATGTGGTGAAGTGCTGAGTCCACTTGAGCTGACTACAAACACTCCTCACTGACTATCTTGACTATCTCAAATAAACAGTATTATATGAGCAAGTATCAATACAAAACTGGACAAAATTGGACGTTTCCTGAATAGTTTAGTCATGATCTTGAGCTTCAGTACAGGTGTGACCACGTAAGACCTCGTGGTAACACAAAGGAAGTTCATATTATTACGTGTTGAAAATGACTAAATTGTCTAAAAAAAGCTGATTGCTTAGTATCGAAAATCGAGTTTGACATTTTTGTATCATGACAACACATTAGGATTTGTTCGCTCAATGGTAGGTACTTTTTTTATTTAACCAATCGCTGCTATTTGGTCGTTATGTATTTAATGCGCCAAATCCCGTAGGAAGAAGGGCAATAACGTCTTTCCCCTTGATAAAATTCACCAAACATTCTCTTTGTTCCAGCTTTAAATCCTCGATCTCAGGAATCGTTGCCAACACAGAATGTTTGTCTTCGTCTACATCCATCTCGACCGCTTTGTTTACTGTTGAGCTGTACCAAAAAAGTGACCCAGACAGGCGCTTGAGTTTGATGTCATGACTTCACAGCTCTTCACTGATTGGCTGGTGCGCGGTCTACAACTTCCGAGGTTCTTGCAAACCGTCTAGTGCAGTCATGTCCAAACTATGGTCCATGGGTCAACTGCGGCCCTCACACAAATTTTTCTCGGCCCTCAGGCTTCCAAGTGAATTGGCCTGAATTACCTTGCATCAATTAGAAATTAACTTTTTACTGCAAGTTTATTGAAAATCTGCCATAATAAAGCCAATATTGAATATTTAGCGTGTGGTTTTAAGGATTTTAACATGAACTAGAAAAGCACTCAGAGAGCGCAGACCTCCGCCAAGGACTACCCCCATTTTTTATATAAATTGCGATAAAATCAGTCTTCTGGATCAGATCCGGATCAGCCTTTGGAATATGAAAGAGGATCCCATTGTCCATCCCTGAGTCAAATTTCATGGGGTTTGGTCAATAATTAACCGAGATATTGAGAAACAAAATTTTTGGCCCCATTTACCACAATGTTAACTAAAATTTCAAAGTGATCCAGAATCCAGGATTTCTTCCGGATCACCCCCAAAATGAAATCAGTTCTTCCTTTTCACATTTCCAACAAATCCTGAAAATTTCATCAAAATCGGTCCATAACTTTTTGAGTTATGTTGCTAACAGACAAACAAACAAACAAACAAACAACAAACAAACAAACAAACAGACAAACATAACCTCCTTGGCGGAGGTAATAAAGTCTGATGTCTCATTCTAACATGTTAAACATGCACATATTTCAATTATTCACTCTATTGAGCACCAGTCTACAGCCCTCGATTGGCCCTCTGCTTCATCTGTGTTTAGATATGTGGCCCTTGATGAAAAAAGTTTGGACACCCCTGGTCTAGTGTTTTCCGATTTCTGATCTAGTCACTGGAGAGACATGAAATTGAGCAGAGGCACTAGGTGGCACCAGCCTGAATAACACTTGTCTATAATGAGCTGAAATGTAATATTATTTAGATCACCAGGGTAGTATTACATTCGATTGCAAATCCTTGTCAAATTAGGTAATGTTATTTGAGGGCAACTTCTCGAGTGCATGTACAGCCAGCAGGTGCATAGACAGAGTACAGACATTGTGTGAAATATTGTTCTGAATAAAATAAAACACAATTTAAGATGAAGAAAAAGAGGTAGAACACATCACTGGGTCTTAAAAGAGTAAAAAAAATAGCAGTACAGGTGTTCTATAAAGGTTAAAACAGTAGTCTTTAAACAGAAAGTTACCCTGACTGGAAAATGTAAAAGTGGGGAACGTACAAACCCAAGGCACTCCAACTGAATATAAAAATAAAAGTCCTTTATTGCATGAAGGGACGCCAACGTGTTTTGTCAGGGCAAAGTGGTAAAAAACACAATTTAACTTGGTAGCGATAAGCCGACATTAGCAAATTTAGACTAGACACAGAAGATTTTGTGCCAGTTTCCACTCTAATCACTCATACAACATTCTTACACTTGCTTGGTGATAGGAGTGTCATGCCCAAGGACACAACCACTGAGCTACCTCCACCTGATTCAAGGACATTATCACTATTTCTTGGTGTCTTATTTATTTGTTTGAGTATTCGATTGGCGCCTTGCAGGAGTATGTGTTCACGGTCCATTGGTTTGCCATAGATTGTCTAGATATATAATGAAATGAAGTACGTCTTACAAAACTGAACGAAAATGACTTTGTGAGTTGGTTCACATGAGGTTATGTCTGCCTGGGGACTGTTGAAAAATCTTCCATTTTAGCGAAGCAGTCAGTTATGTGTCTCTGGTGATTTTGGGAGCTCCCTTGTTTGGAAAGCATCTGTTTTCCATTTTCAGCATTATGAAAATTACATAAAAACATGTTCTTTTAATCACATATTTTACCATTGTGCCTCATGTATGTTTAACAGCTCTGCTCGGTAGATACTGTACTTACTTTGACTCTTTTCTCTGTATGTAGGAGCCCCAAACATATATAGCGTATGGTTACATGATGAAAATAAAGATATTAATACTTTGCAGGTGCATCAACATTTCTTTGGGGTGTGATGCTAACCTGAAGCACTACTCTATTAGAAGCTCTGTTACTCAAGTTAAGACTTTAATTTGAGTTTTATCATAAATTCCAGAATATGAGCCTCTACTTTTTCCTCATGCTTTGAACCCTGCGGCTAATTAAACAATGAGGCGAATATATGGACGGATTCTTTGTTTGGCACATTGTCCATTCATATATACGGTTTATGGTTTGGCAACACAGAGGATACACGTAGCCTGAGTGCAGAATCTAGGGTTAACATGAAGTTGCGACACTAGCTATTTTGTCAGTGCACTCAAATATAGTCATGTGATCAAATAAGGTATGACGTTAAATGAACATTAGTGAGGGGGAAACGTCTCACACTTCAGTGGCCGGACATCCACTCATACCTGATTGACAGAACTACCCCGGCCAACGAGAGAGTCTGAAATCTGCTGAAATCCTACAAGACACTGACATGATACAGACGGGACAGAGGCTCTTTCTGCAGGAGACATGCGCAGGGAGAGACGGGGGTGATGCGGCGAGGAAGATGCTCGTTCGATTGTGTTTTGAACAGTTATTTTGCGCTTCATACACACACCCTCCTCATGGAAAACACACGAAGAAATGCAGCTTTTAAGTTAAAG